CCATGAAGATGGGTGCAGTATTATGCAAAGAGGATATGTTGAGATTCTGATCATTACATTCGTAAGGTCAACACCCTGGATGGGTGTACCCTGGCAATGACCAACGAGATGTTCAAGGAGTTCAGCACCATTTCCAAAACCAGTTTACTAAGGAGCCTGACTTTCCTTTACTTTCATCTACAGTGAGGGTGAAATCACAGAGGGCAAAGTCCACAAGACATTGAAGAGGGTCAGCAGAGGCAAGTCTCCATGACTTGCCCTACAGATTGTACTTCAGGCTGTCACATATGTTTGTATTTATTTTGACAACTAGTTCTGTCAGGGATCCATCTCCGATCAGATCATCAGAGGTGTGATCATGTTAAAGGTGAGTGAGGGGGAAGTAGTTTACCTTATGTATTCTTGATAGTTCACACTGTCAAAGCTCTTTGAGGATAAGCTACCTCATATTACAAATTAAATACTACATTATTCTAGGAGTTATGAAGATAAATATTCACCTCTTTGCTACTTTCATCACTGTTTCAGCCAATGCATTCTTTGGTATTGTTCAGGTATACAATTCCTATGGTAGTCATTTTGAAGCTCTTGATCTGGACATTAGTAATTCCTGTGCAGTGTCCTCACAAAAGCTGAGCTTCCTTGTAAGGAAAGTATGACAGATAACTGTATATTATATCCTATGAGGTTATGGTAGGGAATATGAGGGAGAAATTAAGACCCTTAAAAATTAAATTTTTAAGATCACTGAAAAGCTATAATTTAAGCTGATACCATGAAGTTGAGAATGACTAAATATATGTGGAAAGAAAAGGGAGCATGCTGCTCTCTTTAAAGTAATGTCGGAATAATAAATAGGAAACCTCTTTGAAGAGTGACAAAGGAGGGTGGGGGTGGAAAGCTGTGTTGATAATTCTGACCAATGTTTGCATAAGCAAAATCTAGAGTTCAGTATGATGCAACTGCCTATCTTCTATAAAACAAACTATTGGGTTGTCCACAAAGTTCATGCTGACACATTAGAACACATCAACTTTATCAACAGATATAATATGCTTACATTTCTGATTAGAGCACACTTCAAGCTATCTCTTGAGAAAAAAGTTTAAAATTACTTAATTTGTTAATTTTGCATCTTGATGAAATGGAAGCTTATAAGATGTGTTTTAGACACTTGATGCATTTTTTTAGCATATAGGCAAAAATGCCTCGCAAACAACAAAAAAGGATGTGCTGTGTCAGGTGAAGGTACTTTAGCTGACAGAACTGTACATAAGTGGTTTGCTAAGTTTAGAGTTGGTGATTGTAGACTTATTGATGAAGATGACAGACCCCCCCACCCCCAGTATTGATGACAACCAAATCAAGGCATTGATTGAGAATAACCTGCATTAAACAATGTGGGAATTGGCAGAAACACTAAATTCATCAAAATCCATCATCCATGAGCACTTAGTGAAGCCTGGATACTCAAATCACTATGATGTTTGGGTACCAGATGATCTGAGTGAAAAGAATCTTTTGGATCGCATTTCATCTGTGATTTGCTGTATAAACACAATGAAAATGCATCCTTTTTTTTAAGCAAATTGTGACGAGTTATGAGAAACAAATCGTTTGCAGCAATGTTCAATGATAAAGATCCTGGGGTAAGCCACATGAGCCAACTTTAGCCACTTCAAAAGCAGGTCTTCATCTTAAGAAAGTCATGCTTGTCATATGGTGGAATTGAAAAGGAATCCTGTATCAGTCAATTGATTCTGAAAAGTACTGCCCGCAATTGGACGAATTAAAGGCAGCAATTCAAGAAAAACTCCCAGAATTGGCAAACAGGAAAGGTGTTGTTTTCCATCAGATAATGCCAGACCTCACATTTCTTTGGTGACCTGGTAAAAATTGTCCCAGCTTGGCTGGGGTGTGTTACCCCACCCACCATATTCATCTGACATTGCTCCTTTGTATTTTCATTTATTCAGGTCTTTGCAAAATAATCTCAATGGTAAAAATTTTAATTCTTTGGACGACATAAAAAACCATCTTAATGAGTTCTTTGCTGAGAAACCACAGAAATTCTGGTAAGATGGAATCTTTTAAGTTGAATGGAAAATAAAGAAAGGTTGTGCAAAAAAAAATGGTTCATATTTAGTTAAATATTTAATGGCATAATTTTTATTTTTATTTTAATTTCCTTTAAATTTCCCTTAATCGGCATGAACTTTCCAAACAACCCAATACTTTGAGGAACTTTTTACAATTTAAAAAAAAAATTGTCAGTATTTCATGTTCCAAGAAAATTATTATAAGATCTACTCAGTATGCATAACTATTTCCCCATCCCACTTGAATGGACTGCTTCCTTCAGGTATCAATATTTAAATATAGAACTTATTTAGTATCTATCTATATTTCTGAGATGAGGTATTATGTATACTATTTACATTATTCGGACTATTGTCCTCATCTTTGTCGCCATATTTATTACAATGTTTTGGCTGTTGTACACTCCGGCCTTCTTCAGCTGGTTGGAATGTCAAACTGAACCCTTTATTTCGCTCACTGGGATAGACTGTTCTAGTCCCACGTGACATGTCTAATGGATGTCGGTTATCAGTTATCTCCTGTTAATTCCCCTCTCCAAGTTCTCCACTGCCTTAACCAGGTATTGAACTCACACTCTTTGGGTCCTGTCACTGGATCTAACTAATGCCTTTATCCAATGTGTCATGTATCCTGTAAATAGAGAATTTATTTAATAGAACCCCCACCCCAAATACTGGATAAATTATGCACTTGAAGAAGGCTGAAGAACACAGTTGCTGAAATGTAGGAATAATAAATCTAAGAATGAGAATACCAATCAAAAAACCTTATTTAATACTACATGCTTGAAACTTGGGAAGATAATTATTTTAAAAATCTAGTCAAAATATTTCTCAAAATAAAATCCTAGAAACCTCTCAATTAGTATTTAAACCAACAAATATTGTATGCTTATTGAGAAATACTATTTTTGCAATAACAATCAAACCCTAAGTCTTTAAAAATAACATGATTGAATATACCAAGACCAACAAGTATTTTCATCAAATCATTTAATAAACTAACAACAGAAATAAAACTGAACATAAGAACTATGATAAAAACTTTCCTCTTCTTTTCTTTCTTTTTTTTTTTTTTTTTTTTTTTTTTTGATCATCTGTCATGTTCAATGTTATTTAAGTTCCTTTTGAGACTCCAACAGTATCATGTACAATGGAATAGGAGCATTCAATTGGGATGTCTTTAGTTGGAGTTTCTTTCCAACGGTAAAAACAAAATGTTCTCAATGTGCTTGGCTTCCTTCTGTAGTGAAGGAATAAAAGTGATAGGATAAATTTATGAATATCCAACAGAACTTTTTAGGGTTTCATTTTTTTGATTGTTACCTTAATTATCAGGTTTACTAAAATCTATTAATGATAAAGTTTATCAGTTAATTTGAATTTTGGTGATAAATTTGAAAATTCCAGTACTTCTGTTTTCAAATTTTTTACTCAAAAACACTTTTTTCTTATAAAAATACTTTATTTCAGGTGGCTAACATAAATTGCTTGGCTTATCTGAAAATTGATGGGTTTCTATGACCTTTAACTAAATTTTGCAATCAGCCAAGATCATAAATTGATCTTTTTTTCAAAAATGAACAATTTCAGTACACCAAAAACAGTAGCTAACCATAAAAAACTATGGTCATTTTTGGAATTGGCACCATCAAATTAGCTAAAATATTTGTTTTGCTTCTTGGCACCAAAAACCAAGTTGACCAGTGTAATTTGTATAAAATTTTAAATTTTATTGCTAATGACAATCATCAACACTTCTGTTTTGGGATTATTTATACTTTCACTTTATTCATAACATAAATTTGTTTCACTTGGCAGATCTATGAATCTGCTTTTTTTTTTTTCAAAATATAGTTAAAAAAATACTCATTCATTGATTCTAAATACTTTACTTTTTCTCCTATTCTATTATAGTTGTGCTTGTCCCTCACTTTGTTAGTTTGCATGACTGTTACATCCTTCCAATATCTCATAAATAAAGGACTATTCCATTTTGATCACATGGAAAAAACACTACTTGATTCCTGTGAGAAAATGAAAGAAGAGAGAGAGAGAATATCAGATTAACCTGATCAGAACAGATATTACATTTTGGCCATGGTCAAAATGCAGAGAAGGGATTGTTTTCTTGCCACTCTATGCTGGCAGGACACAACACAAGGTTGGCTTAATGTGTGGAGCTCGAGTGTATGTACCCAGGCCAGGTCAAAAAATAGCCCAGCCCCATTGTGCTGGCATCCCCATTCTTTGGTGCATTGAGGGAGGTACTGCTGCAGGAAGCTGTTTCCTGGGACCGGACACCTTTCACTAATATTTTCAGTTTCACTCTGTCCAAAGGCATAGACACAATTAAGTTGAACTCTGTCCAAAAACAGACACACAACTGAGAGATGAAATATGATTTATACAGATGCAACACTTTCATCCTAGCCAAAAGGCCAAGAAGTGAAGATGACAACAGTAAAAGCGCTATTTTTCAGGTGCACCATATTGAATGGCAGAAACCAAGTAGGGGCAATCATCAAAATTCCAGTTACCATAAATAAAATAACATCATCTGCTGAATTATTTTAAAATTATTATTAAGAAAAATGTTCATAAGATGGGGATTTGGCTAGTTCTTATTATAATAACTTAAGTCCTGTCTTTATTACTTAAACAGCCTACATCATTATACTTTGTCAACTTTATAGAACTAAGACACCTTTCCTTAAAATGACAAATTGAGATCTTAACCATTTTTACCAATTCTTTCCGCTTTTACTTTTGTATCTATTTGCCTCTACTTCTGATATTTCATTAAATTATGGATACATCTCCTTTACTGATATCATGAAATCAAAATAAGTTTATAAGAAAATGTTTCTATTTTGGTAATGTCTTTTGTTTCTTTTATAGACATCTTCAAGAATGCTCGTCCTTTAGGAAACTTTGCTGCTGTACTATTGACTTATGGTGCCAGTTCCTTACTACATGTGAGTGACATAAAAAGTCCTTTACTTAATTAAAACATTGAATCTTACAAAATCGCAATATAGCACTATTTTTATTTTCTAAAATTTCCAATTTACAAGAAAACTGAAAATGTTAAAATGTTCTCTTAGCCAAGAGCCTTTTCATTTTCTGTTACTAATAAAGTAGATTTTTATTATCTTTTGACTACTGTTTGTTCAATGGCTACTAACTGATGACAGTTACTGAAATGGGTGGTTTTACAAAACATTTTATCAGACATCATTTGTAATGAACATCTTACATCTTTGTTTTGTTTTTTTGTTAACTAAACATTGATTTTTGATATCTTCTCCAAATTATTAAGCTACATTTTATCATAGATTCCTTAGTATGTAAAGCAAGATAAAATAGCAGGAGATTTTTTTTAGACTTTTAAATATTTTGCTTTCAAACAAAAAATAAAACTTGATACCTAATTACAAGAAGGTACAAATTGATTTACTTTTTGACATTCGTTATAAAATTCTTATAATATTGTAAAAATATTGTACCACATTTCTCTCAATGATTTTGTCTTATTCAAAAATATACTTTATAAATATCTTTAAAAACTTAAACTTTTGAAAATGGGGTAGGAGGGAGGATTGATTTTTTTTTTTTTTTTTTTTTAAACCTTTTTAAGAATATTGTCAAATTTTAAGAACCTGCTTGTGTAGAGGCTTATTAAAAAATTTAATAGCTTTTAAAAGTCTGAATGAATTATAGCCACATCATGTTGAAAAACTGGTTGCCATATGATCATCAAAGTTAAGCAATGTCAAGCCTGGTTGGTACCTAGATGGGTGACCAGTTGGGTGATGTGCAGGTGGTTTAATGAATAATGGCTTGGAATTGCTAATTGGAGAACCAAGTTCTGGTTCTATTTGAGTTCATTATATTCACTTTCATGCAAATACTCGTGGAAAGGTATGAATCCACCTCTTCTGCCTCCAGCTATGGGTTAATTAGTAGGACTTGTTTCACTAAATCATTATCTCAAAAAAAAAATTCTTACAATCTGAAAAAAAAGGAAAATTTCTGGCTTTAAATAACCTGCAAAGAGTTTGATAAGCTGTAGAAAATGAATGTATCAATCAAAATGAAGTTATGATTAAAATAGGAAAAATTGTTGACAGAAATGTTATATAAGTGATGCAAAATGCCAATTTTTATAAAAACATACTATTAGAATTTATCTGATATTTTTTAAAATTAGTTTTGTGATTTTTAATTAGATTTACAACATTTAGGGCAATAAAAATTATCTGCACAGTTAAAAATTTCAAATTTTTGCTATAAAAATGGTACTCAGCTGAAATTACAAATTGAAACTTAAGATTTTATTTTTTATAATGTGTTTGTTACTAATCTTATTACTACTACTTCAATATCTATACCATTAGTTTTTGCCATTTTGGTTGTCACCAATATCCCTATTTTGAAGGTCTATCTTTTGAAATTAGATAAATGTCATTTTTTTTTTTTTTTACTTTAATAACTAAATGAATAATCTCTTGGCTTGTTGCACACAAAATATGATTAAAATATAATTGTCTTGCTTTCCTTTTTATATTCATATAATCATTTCTATATTCAGTAAGGTAAGGAAACAAGTAAAAGCAAATAAGCACATGTTAACGCTATTAAATTGTTCACTTGAAGGTTGAAATACTCTTTAAGTATAAAGTTTGGAGGAAAGACAGAATTGCCACACAATGGAGGCCAGCCAGTTGGATATGGATCCCTAAGGAAGAATCCTCAAAAGAGATTGAACAATTTTGTATCATTTCTCTATTTAACACTGAGGGCAAGATCTTCTTCAGAATGTTGGTCAAACATTTCTCTTATAGCCAATAATGGCTATATAGATTCATCAGTCCAGAATGGAGGCACCACTGGAATGCCAGGCTGCCTGAAACACATGGGAGTACTGACACAACTTCTGAGAGAAGCCAGAAAGAAAAGGGTGACTTAATGGTCTTATGGTTGGACCTTGCAAACACCTGTGTTGATCCCACACAAGCTCATGAATGAAGCTTTAAAATGGCATCACATTCCCAGTATCATTGGCAACTTAATCATGGACTATTACAACAACTTTCAGGTGAGATTAGCATTAAGAACCACTACATCGACATCTGCATGGCACAGACTTGAAAGAGGTATCAACTTCGCCTTAGCTATGAATATGATTATCAAGCCTGCAGAGAGAGAGTGCCAAGGACCTCAGTCAGTTGGGTCTGGCAGCCACCAATAAGAGCTTGCATGGATGACCTTACAGTCACAACAAACTCAGTGGCAGGTGGCTCTTGAGAAGTCTTGAAAGGAACATGAACTGGGATAGGATGAAATTCAAACCAGCTAAATCACGGTCTCTAGTGATTTAAAAAAAAATGGCCAGATCACTGACAAATACAGATTTACCGTTGCAGGAACAAATATTCCAACACTCTCAGAGAAACCAATCAAAAACTTAGGCAAGACATTTGATAGTAGTCTGAAACATACCACCCCTATCCGGCAGATTATTGATGACCTACACACAGCATTATTAAAAATTGATAAATCGGGCCTACCAGGTTGATTTTAAAGTTTGGATATTTCAACACTCATTCCTACCCAGAGTACTACAGCTGCTTCAGCTGTATGAAGTCCTGCTCATTACAGAGGAAAATAACTGCACTTGAGAAGGCTTGGGTTACCTAAAAATTTAAGCTGTGCTGCACTGTATGGTAACACAAATATGCTAAAGCTACCACTTAGCAGCTTCAAAGTGGAGTTCCTAGTAAGCCAGACTAGGGAGGTCCACCAATTCAGAGAATCTAAAGACCCAAAAGTGAGAGGAGCAGGAATAGAGACTCAGATAGGGAGAAAATGAAGTGCCATTTAAGGAATTAGCTGTGGCAGAAGAGAGATTAAGAAAAATGCCTTAATAAGAATCATGGCAAAAGAGAAAACAGGATTGGGCTATTTTCCCTGTAAACAATATGGTAAAGCCCAAGGTATAGAAAGATGCCAATTATTACAAAATAAATCCTAAATAAGCACCGAGGAAAATTGTTACTGTAGAATGGTTGGGCTTTGCCAACAAGGAGCATGGACAAAATGGGAATCAATAGAACAGTGTAAGATAAATTGGTCAGATTGCTGGTGCACTGACTTCAGTAGAATACAGTTCCTAATAAAACCAATCTACAATGTTCTCCCAAGTCCAGCAAATCTAAATATATGGGAATAAACAAAATGCCCAATTGTATTCAATGTGGAAGGAGAGGTTCATTGCAACACATATTAAGCAGCTACCCCAAGATTTTAGGGATTGGTCAGTATCGTTGGCACCATGATCAGATCCTTAGAGTCATAGCAAATGCAGTTACAACAGCCATCAGGTTGTGCAAATTTAAAGTAGGGAGTAAAGAGCCATTAATACATTTTATTAAGGCCAGAGGAAATAAAATAAAAACAGAAAAAATATCCCAAAATATGCTTTCAACTGCACCCAATTGGTAGCTGATCACAGACCTGAAAAAACAACTGAAATTTCCAAGTCACATAGTGCAGACAACACTTTACCCAGACATATTAATATATTCCAACAGCATAAAGAAATTGATAATTTGGGAATTATCAGTTGTATGGGAGGAGAATATCATGCTTTCTAATAAAGGAAGTGAGAAATACCAGGAGCTGGTTGAAAGGTGCCAGCAAAATGGTTGGAAAACCTACTTTGATCCAATAGGGTGCAGAAATTTTGTGGGACACTTGTTAAGCAAGCCATTATCGGAATTTGAAATCATAGGAGCAGCAAAAAAAAGTCCTGAAAGAATGCACTGACACAGTTGAAGAAGGATCCTGGTGGATATGGCTAAAAAGGAATGATCCATGGATTGAAGCATGAATAAGACCTTACGATGAGTGAAACTTTTTTCTTTCTTTTTTTTTTTGTTACCTTGTTTTCTGGTTTACCAAGAAAGTTGGCATCAAATAGCTTTTGCCCCCCACAAAGCCAATGGATTTAATGTCAATCGATTTTAATATGCTCCCCCCCCACAACGAAACACTGAAGCCTGACCTGTTGGTTTTGGCTTTCTGTAAAAACAAAGCCCTGTGGTATAGCATTCATGAGCTTGTTCAAATTATTGTCAACGTCATTGGAAAATTGATCACTTTGATCCTCATCTGTGAGGGAGGTCGGAGGAGAGCTATTCTCCTAAACTCTTTCTCTCTCACATTCATATCTCATACTAATCCCTTCAGTGGGCGTTAATAACTTCTCCGTCCTTCTAATCCATTCACCTCCACCTATCACCATTGCTACCATTCGACCAATGGCATCCCAGCTGTGTGGGTGTGGCTAAGCTGGCCTCCTTAAAATTATAACCCAGAATTTTTGTTTACAAAATTCTCCTTTTTTCCTATCGGCCAAAATTTTTATGAATTCCACGTTGCCACTTAAAATCTATCAGATCTTTTGGTCATTCAAAATCCACTTAGCCTGCACTCTTTACCAATTCCATCAATCACTGTCAAAGTTTGCCATCTGTTCCCTTCATGAATTTAGCTTTTACTGGAACCCTTGGCTTCTTGAGAAATTAAATTCCTTATCTCACCAAATCACAATTCTTTCACGCTATCTTTTCTCATGCCCAAAATTTTATAATCACCATATTGCTACTCAACGTCTTGGCATCTGAAAGCGACACTTTGGTAAAGTAAACAATAACAATCCTCTCCACCCGTATCTGAATAAATTTTTCTCTCATGCCAAAATTCCCACAAATACCATATGGCTTTTGCCTTGCCGACACTCAAGAAAAAAAAATAATTGATATCTTGGAAAGATAATTAACATTGATTCTCCCTACCCCATATTGGCAATCGTCTCAGGCTGAAATTTTTATGACAGCCATGTGGTCTCCCCAATATCTTAATGCTTTGCTTTTCTTTCTGAATTCTCATATTTCCCTCGGCAAGGCATTTCTAACAACAATATTAATCAGTTTGACAAAATCTCACATATGGCTTTTTCTCTGTGTTTACTGTCTTTTGTGAAAAGTAACTTTTTCGTAAATAAAATAAAATCTTTTTAACATCAAACAGTATATCTTTCGGGATAACTTCTTCCGCCCTCAGTATTTCTTGTTTTAATTTCTATGGTTAATTAGGTAGCCAATTACCATAGCTAAATCATGTCACAATGAGATAATTGCTTCAATCCAAACCTTCCCCTATCTTACGTTATGTTTAGTTTTAATCATAAAGCTGGCAAGGATTGAATTGTCATCAGGAATTGTCATATTGGGTTGGTCCAGCCACAGTGAAGACTCAAGTGAAAAAAAAAATAACTTGAATAAAATTAAATGCTTTTATATACGTTCTTTTATACAGTGCTTGGTTAGTATTGATGTTAGAATTTATCAATTCCTCATGCAGAAAATTATTGACCCAACTGGCTTAAGTTGAACGTGACACTTTGGCTGGTTTGGTTAAGTCTGGCACAAGGCTTATATCAGATGTTCTATTCTAGCAGGCAGTCATGTGATATCAAGCAATGCAGTCATCTCTTGTTCTCAGTGTCTGAAACAACTGCTCTTAGCCACTTCGATTACTTGCATTTATAGACATTCACCTAAAACCACCATGGTTAGATTCTTCCAACAAGAGCCCTTTTGTTGTCTGGCTCTGGAAAATTAATTACATTTCCAAATCAAGAGATCCCCCTTTTCCTATGGGTAGCAGTCACAGGTATTGGTCTGCCTCAAAAACTTCTTCCTTCTCTTATTGGCATTTCATACCAATACTTCCCAATGGGCATGGGCAATTCCTCCACATTCCTCAGTATTTCAACTGTGGCTGCCACCTTGGCTAACCTTCAGTCAATCTAGCTCCTGACTGTTTTGTGTGGTTTAACTTATGGTCATTAATTAAAAAAATTATCATTTTCCCATCCACATCTTGTTCAAAATGAAATATTTACCAGATGGTTCTCTGGTCAGCCATTCCCCCAATCCTGTCAGGGTCATTGCACTCCAACTCCAAGGAAACTTTATTCTTGAGTTTTGGTTACATATCAAATCTTATCTGTCCTACTTATTTTGTGTTTTCGTTACAAGTACTTTGGAACTAGGTCATTAATCAACTGTCAGCTTAAAGATTGGCACCTGGCTTCTCATCTTAATATCGCCTTTCCTTAAGTAGTTTTACTGGTTTTAAGAATTAAGCTATTTTTTTTTTTTTTTTTTTTTTTTTAAGAGAAATCTTCATCCTTTCTCTTGGTCTGTCCATCATTCTATTCATTAACCCTTTATTTCCATTTACCAGCACCAAATAGTGTCACAGATTGGCTAATGCAAATCTCAATGACATTATAAAAAGTAAGATCTATCTGCTGAGATAATATTTTGGTTTGTTTTTTTTTTTTTTTTTACTTCTTCAAATACACTGTGGAGCAAATTATGTGGAAAGACAGCCTATCAATAGGTTGGGGTACCTGGCAGAATGGATTTGATGTTGCAATACCCGAAATTTGTAACGAAGCCAGGACCACTCACTGATGACCTCCACCATTTCATTTTATAAATGTATTTCAAGAATTAGGATTTTGTTTTTGTATCAAATAGATTGCTGTATGATAATTCATTTTTGGATTATGTATCAATTTGTTTTCATAAGTTTTATTTCCTAGCAGTTTCATAACATCAACGTATTAAAAAATAAAGTAACTGACAATAATAGGACTTGAATCCAGTATATTCCTTTGGTTGCATAATTAAATGGGTAAATATCCACTGAAAAATGACATTGCAACAAAATTAACCATAATCAAAAATAAAATGCACAAATAATTACACTATGCATTTGGTTTGATCTTATCTATTTTATTATTTTGACTTTTAGGGTTTGAATTTCCAACTTGCAGCTGTGTTACTCTCTTTAGGATTTTACTCTTATATCGAACATGGTAAGAATTTTTACACTCAACTTAATTCACTTTTTTTAAACATTATTATTTGAATCTCCGGTTGCACTTGCAATGGATTTTTATTGAATGGAGCAAATACAATTAAATTCTTTAGGCAATGAATATTTTCCAAATTATAATTTGTAAACCAATTTAATTTCTTAATACTGCAACACAAATTACCACTCAATTATTAAAGAGTAAATGAAGATTTTGACAAATGTATTTACATATTAATTATTATTTTACTTGTTAATTAAATGTACTAATTATGGAAGATTTAGCTATCATATTTATAATTGATAATCAGATGAGACAAAATGGAAAAAGTAACATTTTTTTTTTCATTTTGTCATTTGATTACCCATAATTATGTATAACTACAGGAAGCAATGAATAAATTGTCGCCATTTCATATTTTTAATTTTGTGAAAGCACATTGTTTATTTTTGATTTTTTGTCAACTACACAGTATAGTAGAGTCAGTTGGGCACTGTCTCTGAGAAAAAGAGCATCATGACACAATTTACTCCACCAGAAATTTGGAAACTGCATGCTGTACTGCTTGGCATTCATGCTGGAAGTTCCAATACAAACATTTCAGTGTTTGGGTGTTAATCTGAGGACAGTGCAGAAAAGATTCAGAAAGAGTTGGATGAGTCTAATGGTGATTACAAAGGTACAGCAGCTCAGAAAACTCATTCTGATGAGAAAAGAACTATGGGAAATTTAGCGACTCCATAAGTAATACATTATACAATGAGAATGAGAAGAGATAATTACTAAACATATTCCTTTAGCAGTTAATTTCATGGCACAGGGGTGAAGTTCAAAATACATGTATCGGTTTGAAATTGATTGAAACACTTATCTGATGTTTATCATATTCTTCTGATGGCTACTTGTCCTTGCATTATTCAGGTTTGCTCATGGCCAGCATCGCCTGTTTTTGGAGTAGGCTAAAATGCATCCATTCACTTCTGTGGTCTTTAAGCCTCTCGGCTTTAGCACTTAAATTTGGGTCTTACCCATTATAACCAGATAAATGGACTCATCTCCCTATCGGCGTCGGGAGGGGGGGGATCTCTTATCAACCAAGGGAAGATAACCTATATTTTTCATATTTGTCCCAAATTTGCTGGTGAGGGCCTCAGATTCAACATGGAGGCCTACATTAAGTGCCTAAAGACCAACAAAACTCCTTGTAACACCAAAGATGAACTAAAGGCAAGAATTATGACAACATTTACCAACTTACACAAGGAGACTGTCCAGAAGGGTTGCAGGAGATTCCAAAGTCACCTAGAGGCCAAGGTTTAAGCCATGTTGATTTTATTGAATAAATTTACTCTTTAGTATTTCAAGATATTTTTGTGTAATTTTGGTAAATATATGTTTAAATGATATGTCAGTGTTATTTTCATTTTTGTGTATTTTAGACAATTTATTCATTACACCCTGTACTTATTTCTTATTTTTTCTAAATTTATATGAAAAAGAAAACTTGATATAAGGCAGACAACTCCCAAAACAATAACAACCAGTATACTTGATAAGAAAAATTTTAGAGGTATTTTCTTTGATATTTAGAAATTATTTACAGGAAAATTTCAGTAGGAAATATATACAAACCTTGAAGCTGATGAAATAATAGCAATTAATTTTATTTAATACACAATTCTGGCTGTTAGCAATGTTCAGAGATTAAAAGTTCTGTTTGCATTGTGCACATAATCATGAAAGCTGCAAATAATATCTAAACAAAATATAAGGGATAGTAAATGTTTCTTTTTGTGTAGGGCATCTACTCTGTCTGACTTTCTGGGATGACAAGTTACTATTATTTACACTATTTACATGTGGACTATTGTCCTCCTCTTTGTTGTTTTGGCCATTGTGCTCACCAACCTTCATCAGGTGTATATTGATCCAGGTAACCTACAGGGAGTTCTGAACTGAACCCTTTATTAAATCTATAGGAGTAGACTGTTCTCATTCCACTGCCCATGTCTTGGGATATCTTGTCCCCTTATTTTTATTACTGCTCAGTTATTGCTCACCCTGATTCCACTAAGTTCAAGTACACACTGTTGGTTCATGGATTGAACTAGAAGACAATATCATAGTGGATTAAAGTGTTTGTTTGTGAATTTGTTGACATAGTAATTGTAAGTTCACACATATACCTTTTTTGTTCAACTGGAGCTAAGAACGACCAGATTATGGGCTTTTATAAAACTAGTCTTTTTGGAGAATTGTTGTGTGTGTTAGAAATGACTTGTCAGTGGTTAAATAAACATAAAAATAATGTTCTGAACAATCACATAGTACCATTGCTCATCAAGATTGTAAGAGCAGTAATAGCCAACCAGAAGAGCACATATGGCCGTATGTGTAAACAAGGAATTGTTTCTTAGCGACAACACAAAGGTCAAGTCAAAATTCCACCTACACAACATTGTCATGCACTTTTTCAGTAGTGTCACAAGAGGGTCACCTGGAGAATTGAATGGACCTCTGCAGTGTTCAGTGATGAATGCCGGTTTTCCTTTCAATGATAATCATTTATGTATGGTGTATATTTGGGAAGCAACATCTTCTAAAGCACATTTATCCATAATATACAGGCTGAATCCCTGGCATTATAGTGTTGGGTGCCATATGTTACAGCTCTCACACTTTTTTTCATGTTTATGGGGAAAATGTTGAGCAGTACCATGTATATCCAAAACATTGTTCAACCTGTTTTGCTGGCATTGCTGTTACAGGAAGGGGATATACTGTTCAGTAGGATAATATCTGTACTAGTTATCATGCTCTGAAAGACATCTGACAACTTCACTGGCCAGCACAATTTCCAGACCCCTATCTACCATTACCTGATTCATGGTGGCTGGTCACTCGTATCCCTGTATACTAGAGCAGATAGCTAATCCCTGTTACATAAGGTAACCAAAAAAGTTCTGTCCGTTTTTAAAGGAAAAAAAAAATGCTTCACAGTATGTGTAACTTATATTTAGTCTTCGAAGTAATCGCCATCGGCATCCAGCACCTTCTGCCAACGTGTCTCCAGCTGTTCAATGCCCTTGGCGGTAGAACTCGGGGGGGTTTTGACGCAAAAAGAAGTCCGTGAGGGCTTTGCGCAAGTCTGCTTCATTGGTGAAGGATTTCCCACGAAGATGATTATCCAGGGAGTGGAAGAGGTGGTAATCGGATGGCGCAAGGTCAGGTGAATAAGGTGGATGGCACAAAGTCTCCCACCCAAGTTGCTGTATGGTATCCCTGACCACTCGCGCGACATGCAGCCTGGTGTTTTCATGGAGGAAAAGCACACCTTTGCGATTCACCAGTGCTGGCTCCTTCTGGCGCAATGCCTGTTGCACACGTTTCAATTGCTGGGAGTATAGGTCTCCAGTGACCGTTTGGCCCGTTGGTAGCAGTTCATAATGAACCACTTGACGACCTGTCCACCAGACACAAAGCATAATCTTGCGTGGGTGCATAGGCGGTCTTGCGGTGTGAGGGACAGCATCCTAAGGAGACAACCAATGTCTGGAACGCTTGGCAGTTTCGTACAGAACCCACTTTTCATCACTGGTAAGCACTCGATTGAATAAGGATGCGGTACGGTGGCGAGAAAGCAGCGATACGCAGGCTGTCACTCGTTGTCCCTTGTGGACCTCCAACAGCGTTTGCAGAACCCACTTGCTCAGTTTGTACGTCTTACCTAGGCGGTGCAGGTGAAGTCTAACTGTTTCATCGGAAACGTTGAACTGTCTTGCAAGTTCACCACACGTTAGACTACTGTCCTCTTCAATGGCCGCCTTCAGGACTCCGTCATTCAAGACCTGTGGTCGTCCACTGCGAGGCTCATCATGGAGAGACAAATCTCCCGACTTGAATTTTCGAAACCAACGCCTTGCAGTACGTTCATCCACAGCACTATCCCCAAACGCTTGACATATGCGGCGACTTGATGCAGCTGCTGATAAGCCCACTTTGAAGTCGTAAAGCAAACAGCCCCGAACGAGATCTCTAGACACTTCCATCCTTCTCACAGCTGTCCGGCTTATAACTGATGGCCGGGCACGGTGCGCGTGTTTTTTTATAACGTCTGATGTTCCTACTTCCGGCTGTCCGAATTTGAAAACAATTGCTACACGCATTTCGTATATATTTCAACTTCATTCAATGACTAATCAAAAAACGGACAGAACTTTTTTGGTTACCTTGTAAATTGATATATCCTGTTTGAAAACACCTGTCTTCTGGTAGACGTTGCAACCATGTCTGACAAAAACACATATTTGAAAACAATTTGAGAAACTAGAAAAATTTTATTTGGGGTCGATTTACAAATCTAGAATGTGACAAAAATTATTAAACAAGAAAATTTCATGCCTTGTAAGGCAAATGTAAATTGAGAAAATCTCATCTGTAGATTTTTAAATTATGAATTACAAGCATTAACAAACCTTGTTTGTCTTTGATCTCCACTCACTGAAATCAATGACTGCAGTCAGTAATTATTTTTTTCTTACATTTTTTCACAAATATGTGTATTTTTTACATTTTGATGATGACATATTTTTAATCAGAAAATTTCCATTTTTTTCTACAGTCATGAATGTGTTTTTTATATCCAATGGATGTTTTAACCCGGTTAATCCGGATTATATTTAACAATAGCTGGAGGGGAGAAGAATATATATTTTTCCTTGCAGGTCTAAGCTTTTCTAGACATTAATGTAATGGATCCGATTGTAAATCGAACATTATTATCCCTCATCACCTTTGCAATTTTTATCCGTTGTCCATTCTAATTATATGTGTAATTTAGTTAATGCAATTTTCTTTTTTTCTTTTTTTAATGGCAAACTCATCTTATTTGCATCTTCTCTTACAAAAACATTGTTAACCCTGGAGTCTCTAGTTGATACTTAAATAAACCCGCAGTTGACAAAGACAAGTTTTTTTTTACAGCATATTCAAAATAATAACAACAATTGAAATAATAATAATAATTATAAAGAGGGATTCATATCAACATAGA